TAGTCCGTCGGGGGGTTTCGATTCTATGTACTTCCCTGGCCTATCTCCGTCAAAGGGAAATGTGCAAAGTCCGAGGGTGGGGGTTGTTATCCGTAGCTGTCTCCGCTTCATGTAACTGCCGGATTGTTGATAGATAAGTGAGAGAATACATCGGAGGTACCGAGCTCGTGGAGTATCTGACTGGTCTTGCTTCCCATGTGTTGCGTGCAGACTAGACACCAGGTTAACATCCACCTTCTCTTAGCATCCAGTACACCGGACGTCACTCGTTCTGTATGCTGAACTGTGCGACACTAGTGGGGGTGTACTACCACTTACACCGTGGCTGGAGGACGACGCTGGATACCATACGGTATCGGAATCGATTGTGCTTGCCAAGTTCAACCGTATATAATGACGTTCGCCGAGCAACGGAAAATTATGTACTCTGGTTGCTGAGTATAAGCCTTATACTATAAGGGTCGATTCAGAACTCGCTGGGAATGACGAGGCGAGTAAACCAAGCTCCTGGGCTCAATCAGTGACATGGAGCCGTACTAGGAAAGATGAATGATAGGCTTTGGTTGTTGGACGCTCACTTACATGGACATAACGGTCATGGAGGTTGTATTCACGCTCAAGGGGTTTCACTGGCATATTCGGCCTCTCCATACCATGTTCCGTGTGCAAATTCACTTATTGTGTACTTAATCGCCATAAGGATCAAGGGTTTGACTTGTCTCATCGGCGGCGGCGCCCATTAAGTCCACGGACATGACATAGGTGAAACTGCAGCGCTGTTGGATAGAAGTCCAGTACCTGCCTTGTACCTAGTATTCCTGGAGAACGGATGTATTCAGTATGAACGCCAAAATACACCGAGTTCATGTTCCGATACTAGGTACGTACATCGAGTGATGGTCATCATGCTGATGTGTGTCGACCAAGTACTGTTGGCCAAAGTTAATGTTGTAGACATGGTAGGTTATGAATCACGGGATACTCACGGAGTGAACGGTGAGTCCTGGTGTCCCTTTGGAAGACGGAATATATTCGTCCGGGCCAGCATGCTCTTCTTTCCGGCTTTCCACCTGCAGTCATTTTCCTCCAATCCTAGATCATACGCTGCCGGTGGTCTGATACCAGGAGTAACACTAGTAGCTCCCGTGGCGGGTTCTCTCGGGAACCGGAATGTTTTGATTCTACCGCGTTCAAGCCGATAGTGATTGTACCCAACATGTTTCGAACTTGTGGAGTCTTCTTCAAAGTTTGGTTTAGTGAGCCGAGAGAAATTTCTGCTGGCAATCTAGCAGGCGTGTGATGGTTGAGGCGCCTTCCCACTAGGTATGGGCCCGGATGGCCTCAGTGTCTACCTATGGCCGTCATGAACCATGATAGAAATGCGGCGTTGAATACCCCAGGGTGTCATCAACGGCACCATGCGTAGCAGTGAAAGAAAAATTGCCCGCTGAGATTGACCTCGAGCATCCCCCAATTCTTCTGCTTCCGCACCTCACCCTCCGACTAATAGCAGAATTCGGTAATGCCATACTCTATTTCGGCGGGGTCAGGGACAGCGGGCCAGAGACAGCGGCGTTGACTTTTGAGGACGAAAAGGTCAATGTTAGTCTGGAACTGCTGAACACTTGAACTCTGGATTGTATTGCGAGAGTTTATGACCGGCGGTAGACGGCAGTTGAGAGCTCGCATTACCCTCGGATCAGACAGCTGCCGTGCAGCCATGTGGTGACTTGTCAACCACAACTACACTTACACAGCATGCCTTGGTCCCTCGAGAGCTCCAAGACGGGAAAGCTCGAACGGCCAAGGCCAACGCACCGAAAACGTAGATCTTTGCCAAATCGAAAACCAACGTCGTGCAGTCTACGCAACTGCTGCTGGCGGTGAGCATGTTGAAACATAGCTACCAACGGCGGTCGATTTGTCAAATGTTGGGCATGGCGGCTGGGGGCGGTCAAGGCAATCGCGATCGCCGACGGGCATTAACTGTGTGTGTCACCCCCGGTGCCGCGGTACGTGTTGGGCAGCAACAGAGCGGGAACTTGTTGTAGGTAGGAACTTAATCTAGGACGGCGGGAATGAGGGAACACGGCAGTGGCGGCACATGCCACATGGAAGATGGTGGAAGCAATCACGCGCCGCCGAGATCATTGGCCGTGCGAGGAGGGCGGTTTCCAAACCATGCTCGCAATTCATGCCGTTGGCAGCAACGTTGAATTGAATGCTACCGTAGTAGGGTAGGAGCCCTCTCCGACTCCTGCCTCCCGCATCGCGCCTACTTATAAGCCCGTGCCCTTACCCCGTCTACCCACGAGTTCGCAAATTCAAAAAAGAATTTCAATCCAGCCGCCTAAATTCGAATCATTGAAGCACTTTCCAAAGGAGGCTGCCCTTATCTATCCAGACTCTGGAGTCTGGACTATCCCCCTATCTAAAGAGGAGAATAAGGGGATGGCTTCTGCTCTGGCACGCCGCCTACGCCCTGGCCCTCCTGCTCGAGCGCCTTCATAGTACACTGCAGCGTCACCAACAGGGCAACAATACACTCATCCACGGCTTCAAAGCGACCTGCTGTGGGCGATGTCGGCGTGCTGATCGCCCTCGCACGCTGCTGGGGGTGCGACTGCTGCGCAACAACCGGCGACGACGACGGCGCTGACGCCTCCTTTGCAGCCGCGGCCGTCAGGATTGCCATCGGGCTCATGGGCCCGTCACTAGCAGTACCCTTCACATTGTCACCACCACCTCCACCACCATTATTCCCGTCGCCGACGCCACCACCTACCACCGGCCGACCGGCACGCTCCCACAGGTGCTGCAGCGCAATGCCAATCGCCCACAACGCGCGGCGGATGACGACGCCAATAATTTCGGCCTTGGCCTCACCCGTCAGCTCAAAGCTGCCCACCGACACAGCCACATCACCACCGGGGTGATGGTGGTAGCTATGGTGATGGTGATGATGATGATGAGCATGCGGCGGACACGACTGCATCCCCGTCGGCAGAGGCGGAGGCGGACTGCCCGAGCCGCCCATCACGGCGCTGTTGAGCCGCTGCACTGACGACAGCAGGATGCGGATGCTCATGGCGAAGAGCAGGAACGCCTCGCGGTGGCTCTCGTCCAGCACCACGATCACGTTCTCCCCCTCCCCGGCTCCTTGCCCTTGACCACCGTGCCGTGGCGACGTCGACGACGCGCTGCTGCTACTGCTGCTGCTGCTGCTGCTGCTGCAGTGCATCAACGACTTCCACGGCGTCTTGGCCGCCTGCACGCCCCGCAGAATCGAGTCTGCCGACGGGTCGTCGCGTAACCCTCCCAACCCGGCCCCGCCCTGCCCGCTTCTGCTGAGTTCGCCGCTACCGCCGGAGCTGGGTGTATACCGTAACCCCTCGAGGTGGTAGAGCAGTCGCACGAGGCGCGGTAAGCAGGTGCAGTTGCTGCTAGGGCCGGGGGGAGGGTTAGATGGTACTGCGGGAGGAGCAGCAGCACCCGTGGTGGTGGAGATGGCCGAGGGTGGTGGGCTGAGCGGTGAGGCAGGCGAGCCGCCGCCCCCACTCCCGCTGGGGAAGGTGGTCAGCGCCGGGTCCGTGGGACAGCTGGTAGAGAAGAGGGTGCTGAAAGGGTCAGCGGTAGAGGTGGTGGCGCTAGGAGTGAAGGCGCGGAATGCCCCTGAATGGGCCGTATTGCAGCTGAGGAGCGTGCGTGAAGTCTGGTAAAGGCAAAATTGTTGGCATATGGACTTTTTCATGTTTTGATTTACTGTTTTTGGTCTTTCTGGCTGGGTTGCATATCCATACCTGCGCGTCGGCGTTGCCAAGTGCGTCCATGTCCATCAGGTCGGCCGCTAGGTCCAAGTCCAGAACCAGGTCGCGGCTCGCATCGCCCCCGTGGCTCTCCATCTCGGCAAACTCAATGGTCGTGTCAAACATGTGATCCAGATTGAAGTCGAAGGCGGTCAGATCCATTGCCGGAGGGTGTGCGAGCGGCAGCAGACCAGGCTGGCCTTGGTGTTGTTGGTGGTGGTGCTGAACGGAGTCGATCCATTGCATGACATCGGCACTGTCGCTCTTGCTGGATGACGGCTCCTTCTGCGCCTCGGGTGTGCGATCCTTGTTGGCCAGATTCATGCTCTGCTGCTGCAACAGGGTGCGCTTGTTCTTGCTGCCCTTGGGGCGGCCTAAACGGCTGCCGGGACTGTAGTTACACGTTTTTTGGTCCCATTGGCAGCTGAGGCACGGATTGCCCCCGGTGCACTTGACCTTGGACTGCCGGCATGCATCGCATGCGGACAGAATCCGGGCGGGCATCCCGGTGTTGATCTCGCTGTTGTTGCTGTGGTTTGTGTTGCTCCGAGCGGCCGGTGCGGATCCTCCGGGGGCCGGCCGGGCTTGTTCACTCCGAGATGACGAGGCGCGACTCGGGTGTTCAAGAGACATGCGTACTGAAACCTTGCAAGCGGAGCGGCCAAGGAGGCTAAGAAGGCTAAGAGATTCACGGCGCGTTTTTCCAAGACCAGATCTCGACTCTAGCAGCCTGGGCAGTCTTGGAATCTCTTGGGAGGGAAAGCTTAGCCTCTTTTACATGGCCGTATCGGTGGGACTCTGTCGAGTTCGACCGTCGAGGATCGGTCGGGAGCTCGCTAATCAGTCTTACGCAGCAGGGGCACCGTGGGTCGACAATCGCACGCAAACGAGATCCTGATGCTACCTCAGTCTACCTGGACACCCCATGCGCGCCATCGCGCCGCCCTCGTGCAGTGAACGAGGCCCAATACCAGCGTGCTGACGCCGCAACCCGGTACCTGGGACCGGTTGCGAATTGTCCAAACAGGCAATATCTTCCTACATGAACCCGTACATACATACCTTACCTACATGAGTATGCTGCCCTATGGTCGCCGACCAGTAGTTGTACCACGGTTTGTCATGATTGTCAACCCCCGTCCCCTCCGGGTCCTCCCCAGTTTTACTGTAGCTTATCCGGCCGCAATGTTTATCCGCTGACTGAGAACGCGGAACTGTCGGTGAGGTCCATCGGATTCCATTCCGTCCTGTGTATCACGGTGATTAATAACGCTTAGGTACCTTAGGACAATATGATTCGAAGGACGTTCTCTTAAGGGGGTTCCACACATTCACTGGTTCCTAGGTAGAGAGTTCAGGTACGGCAGGGTTACGGTCCTGCACAACGATAAAGGTTTGCCCTGTCTCGACGAGAAAAGGGTAATCTTCGAGGGGTTCTCATCCTGGATTGGCCCAGCTGCTGTCTCGATGGATGGAATCATGGAACTTTGACGAGTGAGAAAAGGAAGCGACGTTGAATCCCGGAGACTTGGCGCAAGCCACGTTTATACATACCTTAACCTTAATCGGCAGGCCCGGGCTGCGGGTGGCGTTGATGGCATGGCGTTGGTGTTGGGCCAGACCGCGCTAAGCCTAGGTACCCGCCAGGCGCTAACGTGCACTAAGATGCACTGGACAATTTAGTGGTGGGCACTAAAAGAGCCCTACGTCGGAGCGCTTTCCCCGCATGAGAAGATCGTTTTTACACCTCCCAGGTTGCCCTGTTGCCAGCAACCGACAGCCCAGAGCCGACACGCGTCAAGGTGGGCGCAGCTGCAGTCAGGACTATCAGGAAGACTAGTCCCTCGCAGCATGCCATCATCCTTCGCGCTTGGGCAACTACGAGATACAGCAAGAAAACCCGCGCAAAATATCGTGCTTTCTCTTGGTGCCGATCAGGCCGAAACGAAACGAGCTAAGTTCTGAGTCAAGAAACGTCGAACATACGTTAGTCTGACATGGCACGATCGGCCATCATCGCCCGGCGAGTTCTCTCCTCGTCCATTGGCTGTTCATGTCCCGCGAACCCGCTAGCATCTGCAGCTAAGACAGCACAAACGGTCCGTCCCATGGAATGGCGCTGACGAAGGGGGTGTGAAGGGGCTCAAGTAGGGCACGGAAAGAGGGGCCGGGCTAAGCAGAGGATTTTCGGCCGAGAGAAGGTGACGGACATACCAAGACGGCCGAGAGGGATTTATGTCCGCCGCAATCTTATACGCGGACGGACATACCTGATTTGGACGCCTAATTCTCCGCTGGGAACCCCGACTCGGCCGAGGAGTCATCATCTCCGTTGTTGACCTTCCGAGTCTCCGTCTAGGGACGGAAATGAGCAGTTGTCGGAGGGCGAATGAGTGGCAAGCGACATGGCGGCGTACGGCGATGCCATGTCACGCGAGACCGATGGGCAGACGTTGTTGGTGCCGTGGTGGCCTTGATGATCTCTGTTGCCAGAGTTAAAACATCATGTAGGATCTTGGCAACTTCATCCTCGAGTTCCTGACCAACTCGACCATCTCTTCGAACCCGGTTCGACCCTGACCTCCGGCCGCAGCATCAGGATGGCAACGGCAACCGCAATAGGGCACTTCGGGCCCAACGGAGAGCCAAACCAGCAGGGCCGGTTTGAGCTTCCAGCAGAGGAGACTGGTATCGAGCGGAACCGGAAGTCAGGCTCGATCGAGTCTCGCCATTCAGCCGTGCAAGAGCTCGCCCGCGAATTCACTCGCAGTAGCCTTGATTTCACTGAGGGCAAACCCATCTTTGGCAGCAACGACCCGGATTCCCCTCTCAACCCGTCCGGCACCAAGTTCAACGCGCGTCTGTGGGCCAAGAATGTCGCCAGGGTCGCCCGCGAGCGCGGCCAGGAGTTCCGCCAGATCGGTCTCTGCTTCCAGAACCTGAACGTGTTCGGCTACGGCACCACGGCCGACTATCAAAAAACGGTCGCCAACATCTGGCTCGCCCTACCCGGGATGATTGCCCGCTCTCTGCTACCGAGCTCCCGCACATCCGGCCAGAAACGGCTGGACATTCTCCACCAGTTTGACGGCATTCTCCGGCCGGGCGAGATGTGCGTCGTCCTGGGTCCGCCCGGCTCCGGCTGCTCGACCTTCCTAAAGACCATCTCGGGCGACCGAAACGGCATTTACGTCAGCCAGGACTCGTACTTCAACTACCAGGGCATTTCGGACAGGGAGATGCATTCCGCCCACCGGGGGGATGCTATCTACACGGCCGAAGTCGATGTCCATTTTCCCATGCTGACGGTCGGCGAGACCTTGACGTTTGCTTCGTATGCCCGGTGCCAGAGAGAGCTGCCCGAGGGCATAAGCCGCAAGCAGTATTGTGAGCATTTGCGGGATGTGGTCATGGCCATGTACGGCATCAGCCACACGGTGCATACCAAAGTTGGGGATGCCTTTGTACGGGGAGTTTCGGGAGGAGAGCGCAAGCGGGTTACCATTGCTGAGGCGACGCTTTCCAACGCCCCGTTTCAGTGCTGGGATAAGTGAGTATATATTCCCCTTGTGCTATGATATATAGCCTGCTAATAGGTATGCAAAAGCTCAACCCGCGGCCTAGATGCCGCAAACGCGGTTGAATTTTGCCGGACATTGCGGCTGCAGTCTGAGCTGTTCGGCCAAACCTGCGCCGTTTCCATGTACCAGGCGCCACAGACCGCTTACGACCTATTTGACAAAGCCCTCGTTATTTACGAGGGCCGGCAAATCTACTTTGGGCCTGCATCCCGCGCAAAGAAATACTTCGTTAACCTCGGCTTCGAGTGCCCGCCTCGGCAAACCACGCCTGACTTTCTCACTTCCATGGCCTTCCCAGCCGAGCGCACCCCTCGGAAAGGTTGCAACCCGCCTCGAACGCCCGACGAGTTTGCCGCCGCGTGGAGACGGAGCCCCGAGTACGCGGCTCTACAGCTCGAAATCGAGGAGTACAAACAGCAGCACCCAGTCAACGGCCCGGACGCCGCCGCGTACCGGCAGCTCAAGAGAACGCACCAGGCCAAGGGCCAACGGCTCAACTCGCCCTATACCCTGACCTATGGCCAGCAAGTACGGCTCTGCATGTGGCGTGGATGGCGCCGCTTCTGGGCGGATCCGGGCCCCTCCATCTGGGTCATGGTGGGCAATGTCATCATGGCGCTCATCATGTCGTCGATTTTCTATAATATGGGTCAGACAACGGCGTCGTTTTACGGGCGTGCTGTTGTGCTCTTCATGGCCATCTTATTTAACGCGTTCGCGTCGATCCTCGAGGTCATGACGCTGTATGCGCAGCGGCCTATCGTGGAGAAACAAGCACGGTATGCGTTCTATCACCCCTCGGCCGAGTCGTACGCTTCTGTGCTGGTTGACCTGCCCATGAAAGTCACCGGATGCGTGTCGTTCAACCTGGTGTTCTACTTTATGACGAACTTGAACCGGCATCCTGGCAACTTCTTCTTCTACCTGTTTGTCGTCTTCCTCATTGTTCTCGCCATGTCCGGGATTTTCAGGTTCATGTGAGTTCAAATTGCTCGCCTTGTTTCAGAAATGGAAACACAACTAACTCCTGTCCCCAGCGGCGCACTTTCCCGAACCGAGCAACAAGCCATGGTTCCCGCATCCATATTGATGCTAGCCCTGTTGGTCTTCACCGGCTTCGTGGTCCCAATCCGCTATATGCTCTCGTGGTGCCGCTGGATCAACTACCTTAACCCGGTCGCCTACGGCTACGAATCGCTCATGGTCAACGAGTACCACAACCGCAACTTCACCTGCTCTTCCTACATCCCGGCCTACGGCACCCCCGGAACCGCCAACGTTGCCTGCGATGCCGTCGGCGCCGTGCCCGGCCAAGACTACGTCAACGGAGACGCATACATTGGGTCGGCGTACAGCTACTACCACAGCCACAAGTGGCGAAACGTTGGCATCATCATTGCCATGGTCATCTTCAACCACGTCGTGTATTTCATCGCGAGCGAATACGTCACGGCGAAGAAGTCCAAAGGCGAGATCCTCGTCTTCAAGCGCGGTTTCGTACCCAAGGTCGCCGCCAAGGGCGTTCATGACGTGGAGGGAACGCCTTCGGGACCTGTGACCAAGATACTCGAGCGGCCGGGAAACAGTGGCTACGAGTCCACTAAGGAGGGCGGCTTTCAGGGCTCCACCAGCGTCTTCCATTGGAGCAACGTCTGCTACGATATCAAGATCAAGGGCAAGCCCCGCCGCATCCTGGATAACGTCAACGGCTGGGTCAAGCCGGGTACCCTAACCGCCCTGATGGGAGTCTCGGGTGCGGGCAAGACCACGCTGCTCGACTGTCTGGCGGACCGCCGGGTCGGCGTGGGTATCCTGACGGGGGAGATGTTGGTGGACGGGCAGATACGGCAGAAGAGCTTCCAGAGGAAAACGGGGTATGCGCAGCAGATGGATTTGCATTTGGAGACAACTACTGTGCGGGAGGTGAGTGGCTCGGTGGTTTTATTGTGTGATAATATCTGGCTGACAACAAGCAGGCATTGAATTTCTCGGCCCTCCTTCGCCAGCCGGATGATATCCCAAGGGCGGAAAAGCTGGCCTATGTCGACGAGGTGATCCGGCTGCTTGACATGCAGGAGTACGCCGACGCCGTGGTCGGCGTGCCCGGTGAGGGCCTGAATGTTGAGCAGCGGAAACGTCTGACCATTGGCGTGGAACTGGCCGCCAAACCGCCGCTGTTGCTCTTCATTGATGAGCCTACGTCAGGCCTCGATTCACAGACTAGCTGGGCCATTCTGGAGCTGCTTGACAAGCTCTCCAAGGCGGGCCAGTCTATCCTCTGTACTATTCACCAGCCCTCGGCGATGCTGTTTCAACGGTTTGACCGCCTGCTCTTGCTCGCTGAGGGTGGGAAAACGGTTTACTTTGGTGAGCAGTTTTATGCATTCTGAAACTTAGAGCAGAGTAAGTGACTAACTGGGTTGTGCAGGTGAAATCGGTGAAAACTCGTCCACTCTTATATCCTACTTTGAGCGCAATGGGGCCAAACCATGCCTCCCTGGCGCTAACCCAAGTGAATGGATGCTCGAAGCCATAGGGGCGGCCCCAGGCAGCCAGTCCTCAATTGACTGGCACGACACCTGGCGCAGCAGTCCTGAATACCAGGCCGTGCAGACTGAACTGGCCCGTCTACGCGACTCCAGCAAGACCACCACCCCGGCTCCCGACGTCGATGAAGACCTGGCCTCGTCCCGCGAGTTCGCCGCCCCGCTCTGGGACCAGTTCCTCATCGTAACGCAGCGGGCCTTCCAGCAAACGTGGCGCACGCCTAGCTACATCTACTCAAAACTACTGCTATGCGTGGCGACAAGTCTATTTCTAGGCCTCGTCTTCCTCGATTCACCTCTAAGCATCCAAGGCCTGCAAAACCAAATGTTTGCCATCTTCGAGCTCATGAGCATCGTCGGCCAGCTGGTTGACCAGCAGTTCCCGCACTTCATCACGCAGCGCTCCCTCTACGAGGTCCGTGAGCGCCCCGCCAAGACGTACAGCTGGAAGGTGTTTATGCTCAGCCAGATCGTCGTCGAAATCCCCTGGTACACCTTCGCGAGCGTCTTCATGTGGGCGCTGTTTTACTACCCCGTCGGGTTCTACAAGAACGCCGATGCCGCTGGCCAGGGCACCGAGCGCGGCGCGCTCATGTGGCTGCTCTTTTGGGTTTTCCTGCTGTGGGTGTCGACCTTCGCGCACTTTTGCATTTCTTTTGCGGGCTCAGCCGACGACGGGGGGAATATTGCAAACTTTATGTTTGTCCTGGCCTTCTTCTTTTGCGGCGTGCTCGCGTCCCCCGATCAGATGCCGCGGTTTTGGATCTTTCTGTACCGCGCTTCCCCCTTGACGTACTACGTCTCGGCTGTCCTCTCGACGGGGCTGGCCAATGTTGACGTCAGGTGCGCAAGCAACGAGTTTACCTTGTTTGATCCGCCCGAGGGGCAGACGTGTGGTGAGTACATGGCGCGGCATATCAGTGCCGCGGGCGGGTATCTTTTGAATGCAGAGGCGACCGCCGCGTGCCAGTACTGCAAGATTGGCGAGACGAATGTTTACCTCAGGGCGATACATGCAGAGTATGAGAACCGGTGGCGGAATTTTGGGATCATGTGGGTTTATGTTGTGTTTAATGTGGTTGCGGCGGTGGGGCTGTACTGGGTCGCGCGCATGCCTAAGGGGAAGAAGAAGCTGTGACTGTGAGCGGGGACGATGGATCTAATCCATGATGTCTGTGAGTGTGAGGGTTGCAACTTGGAAGGCGTATGTACATCTCATCTCAATGGAGTGTAATGTTAGGGTTTCTTGAAGGTTGGTGGTTGTGAGTCGGGAAGAGGCATGGGACTTAGGTTAGACACCAGCATCAGTTAAATGTAGATTGTAGATGACAAATGCTGTATAGATTGGATATAACTGCCATGTTTTGCTTCCTTGCTACCACCGGCCTGCCAGCTCGATCATTGGATTAGACAGGTACTCATCAGAAGTGGAGATATACCCAACGACGTCAGGGGCAACAACTTTGACAGTATTCAGATTTTGTTTACTTGAGAGTTTTGCGGAAAATAGCCCACTGGCCTTCAAGTACCCTCTATTTGGTGTAAAAACCGCAAGACAGCAACATGTGAAGGGTGGTACTCATCTATATACGATGTTAATCCCTCACTTCTACGGCTACCTTATGATATACGATCAGTTGCATGATGCTAGTTCACTCACGAGGACAGGGCAGGTTTTGAGAGAAACAGCAGCGCAGTTGGAAGAGAACCCAATGTGAGGAGTGTTGTTCATGTTCATATCCAATGCGGCAGCGCCTAGGTTAACGATGGCAAGACCTGAGTTCTAACTACGACCTATCCAATCTACATCCCTTTTCCTCTAATCCCAACCACCCTCCTCCCCCACCACCTCCGGCAAGTCCTAGTACTCCCTAGGCGTAAACACCAACCTCAACTCAGGCACCCACAGGGTAAGCGTCTCCTTAGCACCCTCCCAAAACCGCACCCCATCCTCACCCTCGGCAAACGCCACATCAAACCTCAACCCAACAATGCTAATAAGCATGCGCAGCTGCATCATGGCAAGCGCTTTCCCAACACAGGCAAACCCGCCCTTTTGAAAAGGCAGGTACGCCATCCCCGTCCCTTCGGGACTCAAACTCTCCCACCTTTCCGGACGGAAGGCGAGCGCGTCGGTGAAGTAGCGCTCGTCGCGCTGGATTGCCCATGTCGGGACGTTGACGATCACGTCGCCGGGTATGTACACCTCGTCGATCTGGAGGCCTTCGGGAGGGGTTTGGCGCGGGAAACCCATGGGTACTGGGGGGCGGAGGCGGAGGGTTTCGTGGATGAGGTGGTCGATGTAGCGGATGGATTTGGCGCGCGTGTAGGTCCAGGTTGAGGGGCCGTCGGGGAAGGTGGTGGTGAGGTGGGATTGCAGCGTGCGGTAGATGGATGGGTGGGACGCCATGAAGAAGAGGCTGGTGTTCGTTAGTATTTTTAGGAGTAGAAGATGAGGGAGGGGGGGCCGCTTACAAATTGGTGAAGGCGATGGCGATGGTGTCGCTGGTTGGGGTTGTTAGCGGAGATTTGGACCAAACGGATGGGAATGCTCATGGAGTAACAGACCTCCCCGCCGATATTAACGTGCGCGCATCTTCGCGAATAGCCGACTCGCTCGGTGGAGCGGACCGGTCGCCGTCCTCCTGCGCATTGATGATCCAGGTCATGACGTCCTGGGACTCTTTGGGCTTGCCGGTGGCCTTTTCCCGGGCCAACACCTCGCGCTTGAGGTTGAGCTGCTCGGTGCACCAACTCGCGAAGCGCTCGAAGCGCCCCGTCGCACCGGGAATCACGCGCAGCATGTTCATGAGCCAGGGCAGGGTCGTGACGACTCCAGCCGTGGCCATGGCCCAGTGCAGGCCGTCGACGGCGGGGTGCTCGACGCCCGTCTGGAGCATGTGGAACTCGTGCGAGAAGGCAATGTCGCCCATGACATCCCACGCGTAAAAGATGTTGTCCTGCGTGATGTTGACGGGCTTGCCGGTGCCGATTCGGTCCATGAGCTGGTCAATCTTTTGTTTGATACGGGGCTGATACGTCTCCTGGGCTAACTGCAAGTTAGAGAGGGACACGAAGATGTTCCTCTTGGTAGATGGATACATACCACGCACACCAAAGCCCTTATCCCAGGCCTTGCGACGGATCCGGTGGCGCTCCTTGTCCCGAACATTCTCGATGCCGACCTTGTCGGGATCGCCCGAGTTCTGATCGTACCAGGTGCCTTTGGTGCACTTTGACGTCGAGCCGTAGATCAGGTCGACAGCCGAGGCGCGCAGCACTGTGAGCTCCCGTGGTCCGGTGCGGATAAAGTCGCCGTAGCGCGAATGGAGTTTTTGGACGTGCAGGTGGTACTGCAGGTTCGTCCTTGTCATGGAAATGAGGCTTTGCGCAGGCAAGACTGCGGGTCAGCACTTGATCTAGATCTCGGGAAAAATGGAGGGCACCTCCTTACTGGTACAAATTGCTCAAGCGCGCTGCAAACGGGCCTGGGAAGTGGCCGAGCCGGTGGAAGAAGGCGCGGTACACCAGCATGCTGCCGTACAAACCAACGAGGAAGGCGGCGCCGGCGGAGGCGGTGCGCACGAGCGCATCTCCGAGTGCGTAGTTGGCGCTCAGCGTGTAGCCAACAAAGAGTCCGCCGAGCACGCTCAGATACGAGACGGTCATTTCCCACCCGCGGCTGTCAACCTCGAATGGCTTCATGACAGTTTGATGGCACAGAACGCCCAGCAGCGCCGCGCCGGCCATGGTCATTTCCCGTGATGCGCCGAGCGCCATAGCGAGCGCTTCCATGGCGCAGCACAAATCCGCGATATGGTGCAACAACGAAGGCTGATGAGGTGGATGATCCTTGGCAAAGGTTTTGACTAGGCGCCAGGTCGCAAGAGACTTCCTCAGCATTGGTGCTCAAAATGCACAAATCGTCCTAGCAAGCTCAATCTCTTTGTAAATGCGCCAGTTAGTATGTGCTGCTACTATGAATCCAAGACTTGCGAACTACATCACTCCATCGCAAGCCGTCCCGCAGTGATGCTCGGACTTGGGTACGCAATACGACCTTGACTACATGAGCGACGTCAGCGGGGTGACTGGCATGCCTACTTGCCTTATCGAACGAGACAAGGGGTCAGATCGGCTAACGGGCAGTTTTAACTGTCAGATACCTACCGCCCGGGCTGACCCGGAAGTTGAACGGAGTATCGACAGAAGAAAATGAAAGAAAAGGCGGCATTATTTAAATGCCCCAGTTGCCTAAAAAAGAAGAGTCTCGCTTTCTTATTGGCTAGAATGTCTTAGTCTCCGAAAAATCTGTCGCCGGAAAATACAGTGCGGAAATGCGCCGAGATGCCGAAGATGCACACGGTGGACCCCCGGTTCCACGGAACCCGGGACCCGAACGTCACCTGGAACTGGAAGCTGCATGCACAATGCCCTGGGCATTGCTGCGACGACGAAACTGTGCGGCGAGCTGCGAAACCTCGTCTTGTAGGTATGACATTCACATGGACCGAGTGCTTCGCAGGCCGAGAGGTCTGGACCACCGGCTGGCGACAGCTGGCTGAGACATGAATTCAGTGATGAAAGCTCGAGTCCCCTGGGCCCTAGCTCTTGAACAGTTTTTGTGAGATTTGGGCCGTTGCACACCTGATAACTCGTAAGGAGTACGGTTTTGGGTATCTGGATGAGGTGGTCAACGTTGGCAACGGTTGTTTCATTGCAATATCCAAACCATTACCATTGTCGCTGGAGTGGGCTGGACAGAACACACAAAGCAGCATTTTTGAAGGAAATGAG